AGTTATCATATGTGTGAAAATATTATTTATATATAAAGTGAAAAGGAACCACTCTCAAATTCGAATTTTCCGATAATTGATAGAAACAACGCCAAGTGGCGCATAATAGCCAAATGTAGTACCCCTGATCATTGGAAATAAATACATTTCACCATGTCCGTGAGCAGCGCAAACAGGCCTTCCGTAAGGAGCCGTAGTTACACATCATTTAATCTGAACGTTGCAGAACCCAAGGAGGTTAGAATAGAAGGAGGGAGGGGTTCGCAGTTTCTCCATATCGGGGAATGAACTCCCGCCGAACAAGCGGCCGTCCATTTGTGACTTCAAACATTGCATTACGGCAGTGATATGTACGTGTTAAGCTGTTTGGTGCATTTATTTCCAGTAAAATATGTTAAATATAATGAAATCCCTCGCTATTGTGAATTTTTGTTTTAAAGTAATAAAGATGATATCCGTAATTTACTATGTACAGCAAATTATTAAAAATAGTTCGAAATTAAATGCATGCGCAAACATTAAAACCTTAAAAAATGATGTTTCTGCATATATTCACGGTTTTGCTTAGTTAGAAAATAAATCTTAATAAAATAAAACAGATTTATGTGAATTCATTGATTTCAGTTTATGCGCATTTCATATTTATTAATCTCAAGAAACTGCCTTAATTAAATTGAATTAAGAAAACACCTATAAAGTTTTTGGATACATCTTTCCACATGTTCATGGTGTAAATATTTTACTTAATTTTATCACTATACTGCCGAAATTTGTAAGTTTATGCAAAATTTTTAAAAAAGAACAGTTTATCTTAACTTAAAAAATGAATAATAATAATATATAAGAAAAGCATTGCTTTATTTAACACCTTTAAAATTAAATAAAAATAGTAACAATTGATTTCATGAAGTTACAAAACGAATTAACTAAAAGTTCAAATTTTCAATTAAATCCTACCATAGCATTCTATCTTAAGAACGAAGATACCAGCTATAAACGAAACATTAAAATGTATTTAATATTTTTTGTTATAGTTATATTAAATAACTATTTTAAGTCCTTTTTTTCACATCTGGAAAGAAAAACCAATGACATTGTGATATTGACTAGTTGTCATATCGTGTGAAAAATAATGCCCGGAATTTTTCGAGAATCTATTTGTGCATATGCAAACAAGCTGACATGCTTCAAAAAGAGAAGAAAAAAAAAATGTTGAATGACAGACTTTTCCTTGCAACAAGTCACGGTGATAACAGGAATGGCCCAAGCTTCACCGTTTGATTGAACCTTCCCTCCTTCATTTAACCTTCTTGGCAGAACCAATGTCAGTGGTTTTTTCTTTCAGATTGAAAAAAAAGTACTTAAAAGGTTGTTTAATAATTAAATACATTTAATTTTCTGTTTAGCTGGTATCTTTCCTTCCTTAGATCAATGATATGGGTGGATTTAAATTGTATAATTTGAACATTTTAGTGATTCGTTATAACTTTCATGAAAGTACGAAATCAATGTTACTATTTTTATATGTAAAGGTGTAAATAAAGCAAGCTTTTTTTATATATTCATTATTATTCACTTTTAAGTTAAGATAAACTGTTCTGTTGTTAAAAATTTTTTGCTAAACTACAAATTTCTGGCAGTATAGTGATAAAATTAAGTAAAATATTTACACAATTGAACATGTGAAAGATGTATCAAAAACTTATATAGTGTTGTGATTTTTGAAAGGTTCTTTGGTTTGCTGTCATCCGTGGTGTTAATCCAATAATGGGACTTCTTCTTCTCACACATTATTTTTTTTTTTATATATAAAGAGGTATTAAGTAGATTACAAAATATTTACATAAGTTAACATTAATTAAGTGAATGGATACACCCTGCATTATTACGTTGTAGTCCTATTAAGACATACGGTGAGTGCACGCCTGCGAATCTGGCAGTCACCTTCGACGCTTATCTAACCCTAACACCTTCCCTGCCAATCATCGCCCCGAGGGTTGTAAAACTTTTCCCTCAATACCAGGGGGGGAGGATCAGAATTACTGGTGTATTTTTCTATGTATGTAAGTTTTAGTAAATAACCCGAAGTTAAAAAAATACTTGGTTTGTGTTTCTAGAAATGATTAATATATATATAATGAATATTTTATTATATTACTACTGTTTTATTAAGAAGAAAGTGTTGTAAATTAATAAAGGAATTGCTGTACTTTTGTATGTAAACTTCTGAATTCTCTTTAAAACATCATTTTCTCACTAATTGCCAAGGATAGAATTGAATATATTTTTTTATAAACTCTTTAGATACTTTGTAATCTATTAGGAATCTGTACTGTGGTATTGTGATATTTTAATAAAAATTTGCAAAACTTTTTTCACGCGAATTTTTATTCAATACCAGACCAAGACATTTTCCCATTAGCGTAGAAATTTTTGATCAGGAAAGCATATCAAATAAGTTAGAATATAATTTAAATAATCTTGTAATTTTTTTTTAACTGGAGATGCACTGAGCTGAGCAACCATGTGTAAATCCATCGTCCCTTAATGAGCTGTCACTTTGACATATATTATGCAATCTATTTGCTGTTTGTTTTTATTTGTTCAGCATTTAGAATTTCTGATTCCATGAAGTTATTTCCTTTACCGTAGCTTAATCAAAATTAACACTTTTCTCAGGTTTCCACAAAAACAATCTTCCCTTCCCCTAAAAATATTCTAAAAATTGATAAAAGGATAAAAAAAGTCACAATGTGTTTTCTATTGAAATTAAGAATTATTTAAATTCTTAAAGTATGCCAATAAGTGCTTGAAAAAATGAAATACTATTTGCATCAAGTACAGTCTCCTGAAATTAGCTATTACAATGCTATAGCCAATAAATAATATGTGAATTTCTGTTTTGTGTATTATTAATAAAGCTGATGTATTTAAGCATAGTAAAAATAAAATAACTTTCTTTCCTATACCTTAAACTTTGTATATGAAATGATTCTTTAATAAATTATGATATATTGTGAAATAAAATCAGAAATATCACTTTTCAAAGGAAAAAATTGGGAAGTACACCCAACAGGTTGCTAATGAAACCTAAGCAAATCCGTGAAATATGCAGAAACAATCATTTTTTAAAGGCTTTAAATGTTTTGCGCATGCATTTAGATTTCGAACTATTTCTTAATAATTTGCTCTACATAGTAAATTATGGATATCATCTTTATTTATTATGGATATCAACTTTTTAAAGTATTAAAAACAAAAAAAGTCACAGTAGCGAGGCATTTTTCATTATAAATTTAACATATTTTTACTGGAAAATACAGCACGGAACAGCTTAGAAACACGTACATGTCACTGACGTAATGCAATGTTTTGAAGTCACAAACATGGACGCCGCTTGTTCGGCCGAGGTTTCATTCGCCGATAGTGGAGGAAACGGCGAACCCTCCCTCCTTCTATTCTAACCTCCTTGTGCAGAACGGACAGACCGCTAAGTCTTTCTGCAACGATGGGCGAAAAATCAAGCATAGGTGCGAAGGAAAGGTATATAGAAAGGGGGGCAATTTCGTATTTCAGAGGAGAGTAAAAAGGAACTTCGTATATTTTATACGAGTTCGAAAGGCCAGGAAGAAAAGATGGGACAAAATAAAGTAAAAAATAAATGGCCCAAAAGTAATGGAGAGGAAAAAAAATTATATTTATAATTTAAAAAAAAGGGGGGCCTATAGAATGAGAAAAGGAAAGGAAGTAAGAGAATTTTGTTTAAAAAAAAAAAAAAAACTAACGATTGTGTCCATGAGTGTAGTCAAAGGAAGTTGTTATCATTTACATTAAATAGAGTCTTCCAGGTGTGTGTAATGAGTGTGTTTTGTAAAGCTGAATAGATGTGAAGATGGGGGAAAATTAATAATAAAATATAAATATTGGGGTCCAGTCACATAACAGTCTAGTTTAGAAGCTAACTTTTGCTATAACAGGGAAACTAAAATTTAAAAATTTTTAAATTAAACTTTTATTTTTTAACATGGGAAACAATATGTTAGCCTCTACCTTGAGACACAGTAACAGAAGACACATAAGATCAAGATGCATATAATATTACATTAACTTAAGTAACATCATCAATTGCGGTTTCCAACGTATTCATATACTCAGAAAACACCATCAGATAAAATCATAAATCTAAAACAAGGCGAGAACACATCAGCAAAAATAAATAAGTAAATAAATTACAGAGTTTTTTTTTTATTTAATATTAATTAATTTTTTAAAAAAAATAAGCATTTTATTTATTTATTAAGTTAATGGTCATAATTTATTATATGTGTACTATTTTATCAATTTGAGGCACACTGTATTAATATATGCTTTTAATTTAAATAGATAGGAAATATAGATTAAAGGAGCAAAAACTACAAATCTATACATTCATTGAGGCCCAAGATCGTGTTTTTTGCCTCTCGAGAAATTCCTCAAGGAGGCCGCGATGGGTGACCAACGCTAAAAGACTACACTACTGATAAGGGCTACTGATAAGGATAGCGTCCCTACGAGATGGTAACCAAAAAAAAAAAAAAAAAAAAAAAAAAAAAAAAAAAAGGAACCACTGATTTAAAGCAATTATTAAGTATTTAATGCCAGAACATAATAAAATGAGCATAATAATAATGATCATAATAAATAAATGAATTTAAAGGTACTTTAGTGACAGATATTTGATTTAGCTTAGAGAAAAGAAGTTCTACTTATCTGAATGTTCCGTCTTGGTGTTGTAAAATATTGCAAAGAAGATAAGACCTTCAGGAGAACTTTCCGTTTTGAGAACGAGACAATGTAGAGGATATTCGCAAAAATTTTTCTTAAATAAATGGATATTTTGTGAAAAACATCTTTGAAAATTTAGGAGCTCCTCTAAGATCCTGCCTCCATCATACGTGATCACAGCGCCTACCTCCGTTGCAGAACGTAAACAAATTCAAGATTTCGTGACAGTTTTCATTGTGGGCGGAGTTATCGGCTGTACTTCGACATATTGATAAATAAAATCAGTTGAGATTAAAAATTAAAAAAAAAAATCCTAATGTTAGAGGTTAATCTGTCTAAAGTTTATCTCATTTTTGCCTTTATTCTCAGATTATCTCAAAGATAAAAGAGTTGTACAACATTCAGGTATTGTCACATGCAAAGCAAAAATCGTGTCCGTGCCTGTAAACAGTTCGCGCACGAACTTCAAAATTTTATATTTTAAAGAATTCTTTTACTTCCCTGCAAATTTGAGACTGGCGTGTCTTAATTAAAGATGGCATTCGGAAGCGCATATACTTCTCTAAATTTACAGAAATTAGAAAATTCAGAACAATTTAAAGGGTTAGAAAGGCTGCTAAGTAAGAACAATTGGTTCAAGCCAGTTCTGGATTATACTGAAAAATCAACAAGAGTTAATCGGGTCTATATTGTAGTTGGTAGGCAACTGTTTCAATATCGTATTTATCTCGAAAATATTTTTTTATTTGCACTGAATTGATAAAAAAATTAACTTTTCGTAATAGGTGCTATAGCATTGTCATTCTTTACTTTGTTATTTCATTATGGAATTCAGATGGTATGTGCTGCAGTTGGCTTTCTGTATCCAAGTTTTAAGACGTAAGTTTCAAATTTTCCTTTTTGTGATATTTTTAAAAAAAATAAGATGTATATATAATAGCATTTTTTTCCCGCATGTAATAGAATCAAGGCCTTAGAAAAACCAGGAACTGAACCAGAAAAAAAGTGGCTAATATACTGGCTGTTATTTTCTTCTGTCAATTTTTTGGAAGTATTTCTATTTTTCCTTCAGTGGTTGCCAGGATATTGGATTGTTAAGGTAAATTATTAAAATTAGTAATGTTTTTCAGTTTCAATTTCTTAATCAAATAATTTAACTTTTCCCTTGACGTCTGAGTAAAAGAAAAAAAAAAAAAATTGAAAGTAATCTGCATGTGTCTTATAAGCTAGTAAACAGAAAATGACAAATAAGATTTGTAATTGAATTTATTTATAGAGTGGAAAGCTTACAGCAAAAGTATAAATATTAAAAGTTACCTAAATATGATAAAAAGAGGGCTAATCTTTGGAATATGGTAACAGGTAGTTTGGCAGCATTTTGGTAAGGCGATAAAGGTTACTAGCTAGGACTTTAGCAGTGTACATGGATAAAGTCAAGAGTGTGCGGAATGCCATTTTTGTGCAATTCTGGGATGTTTTTTAAGTGAAAATAGGTCGACGTGTACATGGATACCGTGTATGTGCAATTCTTAAAAAAGCGGCAAGCAGTTTGCGATTACTACTTGTTACCATATTCCAAAGATTAACCAAAAAGAGAACTTCATCAAATGAATATGATTGACTTATAGGTTTAATCCTAGTATCCAGTGCAGACGGGATTTGGCTACTTTTGGCGACTTTATGATGAGCAGTAAAAACGAGTCATTCAAAGAATATATAGTGTTATACATAGTATACTATGTATATAGTGATAGTAAATAGTGTATAGTATATACATAGACGTTCTTTGGGTCATTTTTGGTGTTGGCGATAATTTTCAAAATTGCGCTAAGGCTGCACCATATACTAGGATTTTACCGACTTATATGTATGTTTTAAATCAAAATTTTAAAAGACAGTTTATGAATATTTCATATTTTGATTTGTATCTAACAGTATCAACATTGTATAATACTTGAAACAAAAGATATGTTTTAGGCATGTTATGGCATCTTTCGACGAAAACTTCTTTAATTATGCGAAAATATTTTTATCTATTCGTTGTTAAAAAATTCAGAAAAAAATATTATAAATCTCCAAATGCGAACAACGACAACCTTCGCATAAGCGAATAGGATGAATTAACTAGGTTACCAGGTTTGAACTATTATCGCCAAAGTTGGCGATGTTTACATTTACCGGGTTCGGTTTAATCCTAGTATCCGGTGCACACGGGATTTGGCTACTTTTGCCGACTTTTATGATGAGCAGTAAAAACGGGACATATACGATGAGCAGTAAACGGGTATTCAAAGAATATATATAGTTATACATAGTATATATTATGTATATAGTGATAGTATATAGTGTATGGTATACTATCACTATATATACATAGACGTTCTTTTGGTAATTTTTGGTGTTGGCGATAATTTTCAAAATCGCGCCAAGGCTGCACCGTATACTAAGATTTTACCCCGGGTTCTCTGCGGAAGTGCTTCCATCCTACTTCTTAATATAAAGTGAAATCTGCCACCTAATATAATATAAAGTAAATAATATGCCAACAACTAAATTATAATATATTTTTTAAAAAATTAAGCTTTAAACTGCTGCTTTTAGCACACTGGTATGAATCTGATATAAACAAATATACATGAAATTTATACCATTGTCTTTGCTATCTATATCATTGTTTAAGTTTTAAGAAAATATAAATCATTACTCATAAGCAGATAGCACTTTATTCACAAATAAGGTGCTACTTTGGTAAACGGTTGCACGGACTTTTGGCGATTTACGTTGGCGCTATTTTTGCAATCGTCAGCCATCTTGAAAAACGCTGTTTTTACACATAGTAAAGTATTCATCGTTAAAAGTAATTGGATTAATTTTTTGTTGAAAATGTTTTTTAAGATGGCAGGCAAGTGTAAATAAATACATTTACTATGAGTATAAAATACTAAAGTAAGGCTATTATTACTTTCATATAGCAAAAGAAAAAGAATAAAAACACCGCTATAAAAACATTGTGCCAACGTTTAATTAGATTAAAAAATTACTGAAATTGAATATCGAATTAAAAACCATCCTACCAACTTTTAAAAGAATTAGAATATTATTAAATTCAAATACTTTAAAATACGTTATATGAAATATAATTAACATTAAAACATATGTGACAATAATTATCTCAGCGATTTTTAAAAATAGTGTATTAATTTTTTAACAAAATTGAAGTATACAATTATAAAATAAAAGAAAAATATGTACTTACATTTTTTTAAGTAATTTAACCTCTTGTTTATTGATAAGTACCACAAAAAAAATCGAAATCATAATGGAAATCGTCTCTTTTAACCATCTTCATCTGTTATCCACATATCTCGCACTTCATTGAAGAAGTAGTCATTTCCTCCAAAAATTTAAAATAAATTTCCTCTGACGCTATTAACAATTTATAAATAAATCTTTAATTAGGAAAGACAGGTTGGCCAAAATAAGGTCTCAAAGGGCAATTTTTTTATTCCATTACCAATAATTCTTGGTAATTACCAATAACAGCATTCATTTTCGAAATGAAGATATCCATTCCATTTGAAATCTGACAAATTTGAAGAGATGAATAATAAAATTTTAAAATGGCGCGGTAATGCACAAATATTCAGTAACCAATTAGGGAGCTGATTACATCATGCATAGAATTAAAATTATTTAAATAATCATTCATAATAAAATCATTTTTAAAACAAATGCAAAGATAAATTGTATTTTAATATTTAACAGCCATAAATAATGTTTAAAACATTAGATTAAATTTATAGATATTAATAAAACAATTACTTTTTAAGTAAGGTGACGTCATTGATTACATCATCAACAGCATAAAATTATATAAAATATTATAAACAACAAAATTTTTATTTCAAATAAAAATGTAAAATTAAATTGATTTTTAATATTTAGAAGCCATAAATAATATTTAAAACACGGAAGTTATGCATAATAAAATGCATTATTTTTTAATAAAATGACAACAAAGTATCGGTTACCATAAATAACTTATCCAGCAATGGGTTTACCATAAGTTGTATTACTCGCCAAAATCCGTGCAACCGTCTACCAAAGTAGCACCACAAATAATTCCATAAGCAGTAAAAGTTGAAAAGGTCTTAAGAAAAAAAGATAAGAAAATCCTTTCAGTTTACTTACCTGAAATATGTAAATGCAATGCCTCAGAAATTAATAACAAATTTTCCCTCTTTTTTTTTTTTTTTTTTTTTTTTTTTTTTGAGGGGGTCCCACCAGCGGCCAAGCGGTAAAGTCACTGAACACTGGTAGTTCGATCCAAGGTTCGAATCCCGCAAACGGGCTGGCTACATGGGTGTTTTCGTGGTTTTCCCCATGTGTAACGTGTATACGAGCCAGTTCCCTTAGAAAGTCCTCTACGAAGGCATCCCTCCCCTTAGGCAAATAGCCCTAGTGTGCTTTGCCATGATTAAATACACCACCACACCTTTTTTGAAGGTACTCTTTTCAGTTAAAGAAAAAGTGCTCTTCAAATTCAAAATTTATTCTGCCTTTATTTAATTTATTCCTAATATGACTATCCATTATCCTCAGTTTGAAAATTTATTATATGATTAATAAATACAAGAACATGAGAATCATTGCAGGTGGATACAGAGTTGAATGTATTGATTAATGAATTTGATGAATGATTTATACATGTGTATTTCATTCTGATATATGTTTATGTATAGTTCAACTAAGTGGTAAAGACTTGTATAGAGCCTCAATATTCAGAACACTTGGAAAGAGTGTATTTCAATGCACTTTTCTCTTACAGAGATGTTCCTTCTTTAATTATAAGAATTGTTTGTAATGCATTTAATTCTGCAATTAGATGTATAATAAAATTATCAGCTGCATATATTTAAAAAAAAATGAAAATAAACAGATTTAAATTAAGAAGGAAACTTATTTTTTAATCATTCAGCTTGTTAAGCAATTTAAAATTGATTAAGTTGGGAAGATGGGTTTAAAATTGTATGTTCTATTGAATGGTAACCCTCTAAGAACTGGCAATTAGAAGGCCACATCAGAGATCTTATATTTTTTGCAACTTTTTCAAAGTCATGAATGATAAATGCATGTGTAAATAACAATTTCACTGAATTCAAGAAAAATGTAGGAGACTCGTCTAAGGACATTCCTAATGCTGAAATAGGAAAATTACAAAATTTCTGCTAATTTTCTATCTGTTACCGTTTTATATCCCACCCATATTCAGCTGACCATATAATGTCCATTAATACACACTTCTCTGATGATAAGATCCTATCACATCAAAAATAACCCACTGCTTGCTTCCTGTAGAAGGCAGGTCTCAACTTATTATTTTTTTAATTGTAAAAAAAAAAAAAAAAAAAAAAAGAGTACAATAACAGTTAATTTAGATCCTTATTTATAAAGACAAAATGTGGCTTATTGAGAATTAATTGACATTATATTGTTACAAATTTTGTAAAATTGTTTTATTTCCCCGTGCGATGCAATGCGAGATAAGTTTTAAGAGAAAGCTGTGCTGTGAAAGTAAAAATACAGGAGCATGTGCATTTAACATTGAATAAATGGATATCTCAGTAATTTATATGTAATTTGAAGAAATGTAATTGAATACTAAGTTAACTGTAACCATAATTCTACTCGTTTTGCTTTCCAGAAATCTCAAGAAGCAGAAATGCTAGAACTATTTCTCATGGCCGATTGAAAGCTATAAAAAGGCAGAGAGAGAATATCTCAGCTCAGTAGTTGTTTAGTGTTTAGTTACTGTTGTTGTGATTTATAGTTCCACGTGAACCGAGATAAGTCAAAGTTAGCCTTATCTTTAGATAACGCTTTGTACTGTGTTGTATTTTAGCAGTTTAAAATATAACTACTAATTATATTGCATGATATTTTGAACACTTGTACAAATATCTCTGAGGAAAATTCTAGCATTCTGTTTCTTTTGATAACTTTTATAGGACCTGTGCATTCAATTTGTTACAAACCCGTACCCATGCAACAATATCAAATGAAAGCAAGATGATATGAGTGTTTTTGCTTATTTATAAACGGTGCCAAACTGAGATACTTGTCAACAGGATGATACACAAGTAACCAATATTTTATTTTATTATTAAATATCCTCTGAATAGCACATCATGACTGCTTACAAGTTTGGTTACTTTATAATTTTCAGCACCCCTATCAAAAGCTGCAAAAAAGTATTGATGACTCAATGCACCATGTTGTCAAACGATATTTATGCATCCTGCAAGACAGCTTTTTACTTCTGTGGATATTTTTCTCAGTATGACTGTAGATGATGATGCCATCTATGGCAATTTTAGCATAGTTGTGAACCGCATGTTGCAATTTTGGCATCTTTGGCAAAATCTTGGTCTTAGCTTTCTGCATTCATGGGCCATAATGTGGCTCACTTAAAGGAATCATAAACTTTTTTTTTTTTTTTTTTTTTTTGTACTTTTTTGTTATCAGGATCAGACTCAGAAATGTATGTATGTTTATATACACGCATATCAGAAAGTACTAAAAGTGGTTTGGCTATTAGTTTTGTATGTTATTTTAATTTAATTAAAGTGTCTTCAGTTCTTTTTTTTTTTAAAAAAAAAAAGAATGGTTATTTTTTAGGTCACATTCACAAAAAAAATACTTTCAAATCCTGTCAAAGAGTTTGAGAACAAGAGGAGAAAAGTTTCTTAAAAAGCAATTAGGACAATTAATGCAAAGCAAACTATTGAGAGCACCAAAAAAATTTCAAATTTTGATGATGATCTGTATTAAATTTATTAAGCTAGTCTATTTATAATTAGGCAAAACAGCAATCTTATTTTGCAGTAGATTTTGATTAAAACTCTATTGATTTGGTGGGCAATCAAATACAAGTCCCTCTTCTTCAGGGGTTGTTGCATTAATACATAAGTACCATTCTTTCTTCCTTTTTGGTTTTTATTTGTAATAATTTTTTTTATTTTTGTGTAAAAGATCTCATCAATTTTTGTCATTGGTATGAGTTCAGTTCCAGTAACAGGAAAACACCAAGAAAGTAATAATGAAACTTTAAAAACTAAAGTATTACAATTTTAAAAGTATTCGGAAGAACTGGATTGGAATTAAGATCGTTAATTAAAAAGGCAAGTTTTTTTTTAGTGTCGAAAGCCGCAAGTAAATCCAGTTTACCAAATGAAGAAGCTTTGTGGATAATTTTCTTGGAACTAAAATCAAAATTGTGGTACAGTTTCCAACAATGACTGACTATTGAAAATTTTTTATTTCCTCTTTTTGGACATAAGATTCCTGTTCCTTGATGTGAAATTTTAAAACTTATTTAGTTTGGCCAATATCTCTCAAAGGACGCTGACAAGATATACTATAAATTCCTCAAGAATTAAAATTGGGGTTCGAATCTTCCAACATTGAATTCTATTCATAGGCAAGAAAATAATTACCTGAAAATTTAACCGGAAAATCCATGCAATTTTATAAATGATAGAATCTAACATTAAAGTGTTTTTATTGGTAAGAGGGAAAATATTTTAAAGGCTTCATCAATGACAATGGGAAAAAATCCTCTGTCTCAGTCTGTTTCTCTACCAGTTAGAAGCAAATGTATGTTTTTGGTTTTGGTAGTATTAAAATTATATAGTAACTTATAGAAATAACTTCTTCAGCACAATGCCTATTATTTATCATAGCTGTAGCAGTTTTCTGAAATGCAGAATTCAGTGATCAGCAGATATTTTCAGACTACAGTACACATTGATACACTCAAAATAATTGACTTCATAATGGCTAATTAATTGGAATAGCCAGCACATTACTATCCAGGCTATGTCAGTTATATTGCCTGAAACTGTACAGAAGAGATTAGTCACCTAAATTTAAAAAAAAAAAAAAAAAAAAAAAAAAAAAAAAAAAGTTCATCATTGGATAAAATAATCTTTAAAACTTGTTGAACCAATCAAATTTCATAAAAATATGTGCTCTTGCTATCATCTAATTAGACTTCTTTTTAGGAAATCGTACTAACTTTGGAGGAAAGATTTTTTTAACTTTAAAAGCCAAAATTTTTAGAGGGAAAACCTATAAACTTCATATCTGTTACAATAATGTCAAGGTTATTCAAAGGTTGTTTTACTTGCTTTACCTTGTTTTACTTACTTACTTACTTATTCAAAGGTTTATTTTCATGCAGTCTTCAGAAATAGGATTAGAGAGTGATTTTATTCTTAAGCCAGGGTTTCTTAAACTTTTTTCAGTCGTGACCCCTTTTTATCTCTGAGAATTTTTCACGACCCCCAGTAAGTATTACGTAAATCCAACACACGCGTGAGTGAAACTCAATTTTTTTTCACTTGTACTGTAATATACTATTGCAGTTTTAGGTCATTAACTTTAATTTCTAATTTTGAGACGTATATCAATGTGAAATTTTTAAACAGGTAAGAGGTGAAATGGCAGCGTCACATGCAAAGCAAGGAAAATGAATGTTTATATTATAAAAAGAATGCGTTGAAACGTTTTCTTTTTTTTATTTCTCTGTATCGTCTTATCTTTATTTTCAGATACGTTGTGTAAAATTATTATAATAAGTTAAAAAAATATTCAAAACTGCTAAAATTTTTGTTGACCCCTGCTGCAGGTCCTGTGACCCTCTGTTTGGAAGTGTGAGTATCAAAATTTACCTTTGTAGCATAATAAATTATTATTTGTAGTGACTTTTATAAGTGGAGTTTCAGATTTGTTAAATTTTAAATTGCTGTTTCTTTCTGTGTGTGCATAAGATGTTAGCTTGTGAACTGTGTCATTTATGTTTGTAATGAGGTCTGAATTTATTTTTAACAGAACTGACTATTCTGTTTTAAAATATTTTTTGTTTCAAAAAAATTTTGATTTCTCACTCCTGTCTGAAATACTTATTTATATGTGTACATATGTATATGTAAAAGAGAACTGTGATTGAAAATACGTGGAAATGATTTAGAATATACATTAGGGTTTTAAAAACAAATGAGAAATTATTTTTTTAAATAGTAGTCTGATCCTATTTTATTTAATTTATTATAGTATAGCATATCGTTATAAGTAATATCTAATATAATAATTAATATTATAAATATTATAATGAGAATCTGCAGGTTCTCCAATAATTCTTTGAAATGATTATTTAAATAATTTTCTAGTGCATGTTTCTGATTTGGTGCTATGCTCCTGTATCAAAGAATGGATCAGATATCATCTACGAATTCTTAATACATCCTTTTTTCCAAAAAAATCAAGAAGCTATTGATAACGCCATTAATCAAATAGTTCGAACAACGTATTCTGTATATACAAATGCTGAGGGAAATTCTACAGGTAAATATAATTTCTGTCTCTCTAATTTTTATATTTATTTAACTGTAAAATGATGAAATATATTTCTTACCTAGATAACAAAGTAAATCCATTTACATTCTGCTAAGGTATGAAAAAAAGCTGTTTTAACTTTAAAAAAAAAAAGTGCTTCAAAACAAATAGAAAACTATATGAAGGGGCCAAAAGTCCTTGGTACATTAAAAATAATTATTGTGAAAAAGAAAAAAAAAAAAAAAAAAAAAAAAAAAAAATTGACATAAAAAAACTAGAAATTGCTATAGTAACCTGGGACCACTTGATAATGAGATCCACACCTTTATGTATGGCTACTGTTTGGAAAGAGAGAAATCTTCATAAGGGTACCAATTACTATTAAGATGGAAGCATAGTCTTCATAAGGATGCTGGCATCTTGATGTTGGAGTGTCACTATATAAGTCAGGTTTTTGTTTGCTTTATTGACTAACTAATTTAAGCAAGGTATAAAATAAATCCACAGTGCATTTAAATCACTTCATTTGCATAAAGATGCTTTCACCTTTATGACTTGAACTTTTGCCTAAGATGTTGAAGTTTTGTGCATTTGCAGTGAATTAGAATAAGGTCGTGAGTTATGCTTCTCGAAAGGGGACTACTACATTGCAAAAAATGTCATTGTTAGAATACCTTCATCTAGCAAATGGTCGAGGATCTTTATTTTGGCCTCATTAATTTATATGAAAGGATGTTTACATAATACTAGATGGCTCAATATATTGTTTTCGAATCTATCTTCCCATACTTTTATTTTTTGCTTTTTCAAGCATTTTAGCAGATAAGTTGTCCAAAACATTGTTTTGCTGTTTAGTTTTATGTGAAAAAAGTTTAAAATTTACAAATAATGGTTTTCTTAAATATATCATTTCTATAAAATAAATTGAAACTTGGAATAACAGGCAAACATGTAAATATTGCATAATAAAAAATTTCATAATATATTAACATAATAGCTTTTGTTATGAAATTTTACTTACTTATTTACAGTAATAATTGAAATAGTTTATGCAAAATTAAGAATGAAAATTGTATCTGCAAAGAAATTGAGAGTCTTGAGTTTTCAGGTCAACCAAATTTAGGGATGTTTGTTTAGTATGTCTGAAATCAAGATAAAGATTGATAAACAAGAGAAAATCTCATAGAATGTTTAGATCATTAAATATAATTTATAAAAAATTGAACATTAGGCAGAATATTAAAGATCTGGTAAATTTGTTTTTATGCACTCTAGATCCTAAAAAGGAAGATTAATAAAGAAAAAATACATTGCTAAAGTCCTAGTTAGTAACCTTTATCGCCTTACCAAAATGTCGCCAAACTACCTGTTACCATAATTAAGACACAATAATAACACGCCGAACAAATAATAATTAAGTCACACAACAAAAATAAGCGTTATATTTTCATAATTTGAAAATATAAAATCAGCGACAAATGACAACAAAAATCAGCATTACATTTTCAAAATTTTGCTGGCAGAGAAGTTGCTTGTAATTTATATAAAAAAGGCTAAACATGACTGAATGGAAGCTGTACCAAAATGTCACCAAACTACCTGTTACCATATTCCAAAGATTAACCTAAAATACCATCCATGTTGAAGTAATTTTTTTTTAAAAAAGTTAAAAAAAGTTTAAAGTTATTAAAAAGTTTCAATAGTTAACTTCAGACATATAATATCTCATCTTCCAATTGTTTTTGTGCCATGCCTCGTACATACTATTTTAATGCACTTTAATTGTATGTCTGGGGGGAAGTGATTAGATGAGTTTATAAGCATTGTGTTTTGTTTCTGAAAGCTAATTTTAATGTATTAAAAATATCAGGTCATGAAAAGATGTTTTGTGGGTTTGTTAACAAATAAAACTATTTTGGTGCATAATATATTTCACATGAGTGATAAGATTACCGAACGTTGCCAATTCATTCAAGATTTGCTTCTCAGCATCAGTATTGCTTGTATGGAATTTATCTTCATCAGTAACATGAATTTAACACAGTTTTTCCTCTTTTAAAATTCTTCAGGAAAGCAGAGAGATAGCATTTGACTATCTTCCTGCATTAGATAAGATAATGCAATAATTAAACTGCATCCTAAGATTCTTAAAACTGTTTGAGCATTTTCATAGTTTTCCCATGTATAACATGAACTAGTTTCCCTTTGAAAATCTTTCATAAAAACATCTCTTTCCTTAGGCAGATAGTCTTCGATATTTTGTTTATAAACAAACAATTCTTGAAACTGTTTCATGAAGAGAATGTAAAACTAAGTTAGTGTTACTATTTTATTCAGATTTCTCAGCTTGCTGTTAATATTGGTGTATTGTAAATTTGTAAGTAGTAATATAATGAATATTAATATTTTACAGGTAATTTACATATGCGCCAGCCATATCAGGGAACAGATTCATGAGGTAAAATTCCCTTTGACCTACAGTTTGTAAGATAGAGCTTAAAACAGTGTGATTATTTTTATATTGTCAACTTGCTACATAAACACCTTAAAAATTATCAATTTTGTATTTAAGAGAAATTTTCAAATAAAAGATTTAAATTCTTGTCACAAAATTTTAAAATGTCACATAGTTTTATTTCATTTGATTCCTCCCTTCCAATTTCAAAGTTCAAATGCAATAAAACTCAACAACAAGCACTTTTTTAAATAAAGTATATATATATTTTAAATAAATATACAAATTTTTAATTACAAGCTAGTGAAAATGACATGAAGACATATTTACATGATGTGATATATGAACAAAGGCAAATAAATATGAGGAACAAACATACATTTTGGAAATTAATGTTTGCACGTTAGTGACCTTAAAATTTATCACATTCCATACATTGGGATATACATAACATTTTTCATATTTAGATTATAAAATAGCATATAATAAAGATATGTATATTTAAACAATTTGTAAACTATCATATTTAACGAATGAAATATGTTTAAAAAATTTATAGAGTGTTTCACAACCGAAGATTATATTAAACTACATCAATGCTTTTAAACAGTTTTTTTAATAATTGTTAAAATCAATATGTAAATATGAAATAGCGAAAAAAAAATTTAAAAAAGAAAACTGACAAGATTCACATTAACAAATGAATGTCAAAATAAATTAAACCATAACTGCTCCTGAACATGAAATGCTATTTGTACATGATTATTTGATGAGAAATAATCTGATTGCCAATCAACATTTTTGTCCATAATAAGTAATTCCAGTATAAATTAGAGCTTATTTCAAAAGAAAATCTGATGAAGGGGGAAAAATACAATAAATTAATTGACTCAACTGTTCTAAAGAAAAAGCTCATGTCCATATTGATTGTTTTACAAAAGTATAAAACATCTGTTAAAATTCATTTGTAAAAATAGCTTATTTAATTCTTATGTTTCAAAGCATTTATGAATCTTCGCCACCAACTACTTTTTACCTTCACTATAGAAATTGGTTCATCAGTACTAGACTGAGATATGTCGGAGACTTCTCTCATTTCATAAACCCTTCTGCATACGGGTGTTTTGGAAGACAAAGCAGGAACAATATCTATTTCTTGCATATCCTGATCTTGGACTTTTACCTTCCGTGTTTTCATTAGTTTTTTCCGTGATTTACGTTTTTGAATTGCTGTAGATTTTTGAAGTGTGTTTGTGGGTGATGCAAGTGCTTTCTTCAAACTAACCATGATGTTCACAACAGCTTTAGCAACTTCTTCTGGTGTGGCATCTTTCTCTGACAGTACTGACCAATCTGCAATGTCTACTCCTGGTGGCAACTAAAAGTAAAATGCATAATGAAAACATAATAATCCAATAATCATAAAAAATTGAAGGATTTATTTATTTATTTTTTTACTGTAAAAATTGTACTGCAGTTAACTCTACATTAAAACTTTACTACAAGCAAGCAGATCAGCTTAATTTACAAAGATTTCTTAAGCTATTAAAAATATCAAATTAATATTCCAGTTATTTTTAATAAAGAAATCCAGATATTTTAGATACATATATATATATATAAATGATTTTCTCAAAAGGAAACTGACTTTTTAGAATTTTTAACAAGTTAAAATTTCATATATGCTACATTTCTTTCTTATTTACAGCATATTATTTTCATTACAAATTATTACATTATTTTCACAAATTGCTATATTTCTTTCTTATTTACAGCAATAATAATAATAATAATAACATAAAATGTAGTAAATTATTTAGTCCTCTTAATTAGAATTGTTTTATACTATTCTATAAAACTGTGGAAGAAAATATTTTTCTTTTAGTTGTCAACAGACTTTCAGTAACCATGAAGGTTAATTTATAGTACATATAAAACATAGGATATCCCAAGAAAGAAATGATGAAAAGAATATATATAATATGCTTAATTTCTTATAATGCAGAAGGAATTAGTTTGTAGGAAACATTCCATGAAGGAAACAAAGTAATCTAGCCTGAAGTTCAGCAACCTCATTTCTCTTGGGGGAAGACTAAATAGCTAATAATGTCTCAACTCACTACGCACAGTATGAAGTTGTAAGAAGTGACATTTAATAAGACTGACCTAATTAACTAATAACTGACTTTAATTACACTGCCTGCCGAGATGGTGTAAGTCAGAAACACAGTTTGTGTATTTTATACACCCCAGAGCCGAGATTATCAGAGTACAAGTTTTAGCCAGTACAATAAAGAATTCCAGAAAACACAGTTGGAAAGAATTAAAAAAAGTTTCAGTACACACCTCTATGCGAGGACCATTCGTAGCTCAGACTATGTTTAGGAAAATACTCCATCTCATTCTACGCATTCAAAAGTATCATCAAAATCATTAAATCTTATCTCTATAACTGAAACACACAAATCTACAGAGGTCAAGTCTGTTCCAGTAAGCAAATCCCTTTTGAGTTCTTTCCAGGTATGTTTATCACAGTGCAATAAACACATTGTCTTGGATGTATGATTTGTGCTTTTTGATTGCTTCTTTCCTGAGCATTTTTATGGTAAGAGAAGCTTTTTTATTTGCTGTTCCCCGTTTCTTGCACAACAAACGATGCTTCTTAGAAATTAAGAAAATTCCTTTAGGAAAATGAACATTAAAACTACTCTAAGTCAATACCATATTTACTAATACAGATATCTCTTTCATATACACAGAAGATACATGAATAATTAGTTTTATCTTACTGATTAAATATGCTAATTAATTTTTTCTCCTACATTTCTTTCTGTAATTCATATAATTATGAAACATCAAAAATGTCTCAGAAAAAATTTACTTCAAAGTCAAAACAAAAGAAAGAGAAATTTCTAATAGCTGAAAAAAATTGATATGAGATTTTCAATACATTGTTATCATTTAGGATTTTATGTATGTATATAAATATAATTTACAAAGCAAGACAGAAATTATTGTATATTGTAACAGATGATATAAATCATTCTTCAAGCACATCACCTGCTCTAAGTTACATATCACATGATTCATAAGATGTAAACATTCATTTTCCTTTTTACAGGTCAGAGACAAAATGAACTTTCATCAGGACTTTGCTTGGGAGCAATGTAGCTTTACAAAATCTCTCACTTTTATTTTTATGTGTGTGTTAATTCATTAGTACATTGGATGTTCATCATACTTCATTATCTTAATTATACTGAGGAAATATATATAGTATATATTTTATATAATAATTATTTGTACATTAATTTACTGATAATTATTTTTATACACGAGAAATATAAATCATAATTAAAGTCAAGAAATTCAATTTTTTATCCTGTTTGTATTAGAAAAATGCCATATAAATTGAAAGTGGCATAAAAAAATATGCTACCTTGATCTTAACATCTATCTCCACTTGAAAGTAGAATGTTTTCTTTGCATTTTGTAATATTTCCTTTTGTACCATGTTTATTTTACATAAATATTGCACGAAAACATTAAAAAAAAATTTAATGCATTTTGTGTGCTTTTTTTAAAGAAAATATATTATGCTTTACAATATGGAATAAAAATATGAATTGCACTTGTTAAAAACAAGTTGCAATGTTTTGTAAAATGCCTTTTTAATTAATCACAACAGCATGAACTGCAGTGTCTTGTAATTATAATAATGATCCAAAACTATGGCTGAGTGATTTTATAGAGTAAGTTTAAGGTGTGAATTCCATGGTTTGGAGATAGTATTTAACTTAAGTTCAGAAAGGAGCGGACTCAAAGTATAAAATATTTTAAATTAAAGAAATTTGTCTTATTCATAAAACATTAATATGTAATAAATTACATATAAGAGAAACACCTAATTTGACCCTATGAATATTTCAAATTATTGAAATGACAAAATACTACATTTGATACAAAACACATCAGTGTTGATTATATTTGTAACATTACTTGCAAACACATTTATAATTAAATCACAAATACCTCAAATATCTTCACAGGAACTCCATACTGTCCACCAGCTGCCCCTCCTGTCGACATTATTGGGATAACAAAGTGATCATTCCAAATAAATTCTTCCACTTCGTGAACAACACCCGGACCACCTACAGAAACAAACTTGAAGAATGAGACATATTTTTTATTTATAATGCCGTATTTTAGAACATTTTTTAAATATATTTAAAAAATTTATTACAGTTTGATATTTTAAAAAACAGTTTTTGATAGTACCTTCAATTACAATGCAAGTATCCAGAAGTCTGGCTACAACAGTTTCTCTTTCTTTCACAGAATCTCCTAAAAATACTGTTTTCCCATAAGGCATAGCTTCAAAGCTTCCATCTGGATTTTGGCGGGCTTTTGCTGTCAAATCCTAAAGCATTTATAAAAAGTATGTGATTATTCACATATATACTTATATATGTGTAATATGTATGTGCTTATATATGTGCTAATTGTAAAAATAGACTTTCTATGCTTTTAATCATTCGGTTCATTGGCATAAGTCAAAACAGTTTTTTGAAATTTATGACAGCTTTCTACAAAAGAAGAGAAAAGTTCTATCTGGTCATTCCTTTTATAGTCAAAAAGGACTTTTCTATAGTGAATGCTTTTAGCTTTTTATAGCCCAGGCTTGTTGAAGTGACCTGAACAGTGATATAAATGGAAAGGGCACTCTTAAATGAATATATAGCAATTTTTCATTACTAAGCTTTTCTTGAATTGCAGTACATGATTTAGCATTATCTCTCTGAGGAATCACCTAAAGTCTGTTAATCACAGCAAGTCGCTAGTGGTTTAAGCATATTTAAAATTACCAAACTGTTAAGAAAAATTATATTTGCTCTTTTATAATTTAGGGGAGAAAATGCAGCAATAAATTTTGGTAAACATATAAAATAATTATATTTTTATTATCTGTAATATTAGTGGGCTTATTTTAAAATTTGGTAATACTAGAACTGAACTAGTATGCAATTTTATTTGCACGTTTTGTTTAAAAACTTTTTGTTCATTTCTTCAATAAAAAGCAGATACTTTTAATGACAATTTTCATATAATGTGATTTTTAAGGGATTAATGTTATTTTTGTAAATTAATTTTTTATGAGTTTATATTTTAAAGACATAACAAACATCTTTATATACTTTTTTCACATGTACTTATATGTTGATAGCAAATACATTTTTCTACACAATGAAAAAACAGATACTGAATACAGACATTAGGGTAGTAATGAAATATCAGATAGCTCTCAGAAACAGAGTAATACAATAAATTGTGGCAAAAGGTTGATAAGGTATAGAAATGTATTATTAAACTTTTTTCTCACCTCTGAATCATGCATTGGTAGAATGTGCACTACAGCTGATTCTTCTTTGCTGAATTGGCTGTTATTTTCTCGACATTCACAAAATGTTTTAGCAGTAGTGTCAGCTGCTCCAAAAAAGCCACCAGTAACTAGAGATACTCTTTCAACTTTTGCAAGTTCAGAACCTATAGCTCTGCAATTTATTATGTAAGACTTAGTCAAATAGCCAAATGCTTATTTTTAAATATTTAAACTACTCTTACAAACACTTTTCTTAAAATATTAAATTTTATACATTTATCAAACATAAACTTAATTGATTTTTGCCTGATTTTAAAATTATAATGTTTCTTTTTAAAATACAGTGATACCTCAGTATATGTCTTTGAAATATGTCCTGTTTGAAAGCTAAAATTTTTGTTTGGAATACCACTTCAATTTGACAAGTCATGATTGCATGCACTACACTAGTTTACCTTTTTCAAGACAATGCTACAACTGGCCACAAGGGTCAGTATGCATGTTGTTTTGTTTAGACATGTTAAAGATATAAATTTTTTCAGATATGTTATAGGGAGAAAAAAAGTACAACCAACCTGTTCTGCTTATAGGAATTAACCACTATGTATTCATCACATTATGCAATGATTACACTGATAATGTGCAGTGATTATATTAAAGTTTTTAAAATAAAATCGCTTAATTATCGAGCATTGAAAATTAGAAGTTAGAAAAAAAGGTCTATTTAACGCAAGTGGCATGACCGGCTTTATCCAGTTGTGAGATTTTTTGTCACTTGATACATATTAGCGTATAACTTAAGATATTTTTGCTTTCTTACTTTCTTTAATAATGTAAATGTAATCTTTAATAATGTAAATGTAATAAATGCTATTGGTATCTGTACTTTTCATTTGGGGAAATAAATTTTAGTTGGTCCTGTTTTTCAGTTTAGACTTTGCATAGACTTCATATTAATTACAGTATAAGTGTTAAGATAATAATTTTAATTTTAAATCACAGTAATGGGTTCAGACTTGCTATATGTAATTAAACTAAAACTGGCATCAAATATACATGTGTTAAAAGTTGAGAATTGCCGGATTAAACCATGAATTTAAAGTGCCATATATATGATTTAAATGCAAATAAATACTCCAAGTACTTTTCCTTAATAGCATTTTTAACTGAAAGAGCAAGTGCATTTTGTCTGAGTGGCCTTTTTCAAAATTACAGTTTTCAAATATTTTATCAGCTATAATAACTAAAAGTTATTCTGAACATATATTTAGTTAAATAGAAAAATATTCCGGGTAGAAACAGTGTACTACTCATATGAATAGCTAAAAAGTTACTCACTTGCATATTTCTTCTGCTCGTTGTGTCTGAAGTTTACTGCTACCAGCTATATAAACACACATATCTTGTAGAGGTAAATTTCGTTTAAGAAAGTTAACCTAAAAGTAGAAATGAAAACCAATTAGTTTAGATACATATGTAAACAATTATTTAGCAGCAAACTGGCATCTAAAATAAATATATAATACAATATATTTATTGATTTTAAAAGAAACGTGAATTACCAAGTAATTCATTTTTGCTTCAGCTGTAGCATCCTTGGGAGTCTCAGATGAGGAAGGATTCAAAGCTCTCTTCACACGTGCTTTTAGAACACATTCAAATTGTGGATTGTTGACTTTCTATAAAAGAATGCATTAATTCAGTATAAACATTTAGTCTTAATTGAGAGGATTACAGTATTCTGAGCTAATTTGCTACATCATTTTACTAAAAGATTTCTAATATTCTAAATGGATTGCATATATCCTCTTTTGCATAATACATACAGAGATTATAGCAGGGATGGCCAACACGTAGCACAGCGGAGTTTTAACAGTGACACACGAAGACTTACTGAATTTAAAAAGATTTGGAAAAAAAAAATATCGTCTGTATCAACTCTGTTGATAGATACACCCTTAAATACATTAGAAAAATATAATAATTCAGTTTCACTGCAAGACATCAATTGTAACCTAACTGAAATACAAATACAAATTACTAACCTACGGCAGCAGCATATTACACTGAAAAGCAAATGTAAGAAACTTATTTCAACTGGTAATCCAAATTATACTGAATTTTGGAAATTTGAACCAAAACGCAGTTTTCCAAATTTACACAATTTGGCTGTCAGGTATTGTTGTAGGTTTGGATCAACAAATGTTTTCTATTATGAACATAAAAAATACTGATCAAAATTAACTGATATGCACCTAAAACACCAAATTTTGTTAGCATCTCGAAGAACTAATCCTGATATAGATGACTAGGTAAAAAAAACTATGTATTCAAAAGCCACATTAAGTACTGACTGTTTAATAGTTATTTAGAATTAAATGTTTCAAATTATTCATTTTTATTTTATATATAACCTAGCTGACTGAACCTTTGAAAAGGTTTATTAACAATAAAACCCTAGGTTATACATTTATTTTATTTATTGTTTTTTGAATGTCCATTTGTTAATTGTTTCTAAAATGTCCGCTACTCACACTTGCATAAAATTATGCTATTTGCGTAAACATCGCATAATCAGCCTAACATTTTTTTCACCTTTTTATACTTTTTAGTATGTTGGAAAATTTGGAAACGGCACACATAACTTTCCCCCCCCCCCAAATAGTGGCACTCTTCCAAAAAAGATTAGCCACCCCTGTATTATAACAAAATGACTACCTGAATTTAACTAATGGTTATTTGCATTCAAATTTGAGTACTTTTCAAATATTTACATGTAACTGTAACTGTTTGTAATAACTGTAATACGGTGCAAAGTCCGAAATCTGGACTCGTCGGACTTCGGCCATTCCAGATTTGGGATTTTTCTGGATATTAGATCATCAGTTTAAATCTAGTAAGATGGCATGTAGAAATTATAAAATTAGAAATATAAAATAAGGAAGTATTCATGATCGAAATTTACAAAAAAAAAAAAAGCTTAATATTTATTTCTTTACCTTATTAAACATTTCTTTCAATGTAAGTAAGTTGCTTCGTTTTTTTGTGTTAATACTTTCTCTTTAATTCTGTAGACAAACATAATCTCTTGTTTAGTTACATTGTTGAAGTCCTGTAGCTGCTATTTCGAGAATTCCGACTAACTTGTCAATCGAAATTTTCTCGCTGTCAGTAACTTCTCTGTCACTTCTTTACTATCGGTAGTGGTATTTTCTGGATCTAGAGCCATACTGTAGATTTTGCCATTCATAATTGATTGATGATCAAGAAGCATTGTCATCGCAATGCAAAACTTCTTTTATATCATCTTCATTTATTACCACTTCTCTACATTTTTTTTAAAAATCCGTTAATAGGAAAATTTCTTTCTTTTGCAATATCCGAAAACCTTTAAAATTAGTGGCTATCATCATCAAATTTAGCTATTCTTCACTATACATATTTGGCTATGCATCATGAGCTTGATGACAAACAAAAAGATGTTCCGTTAAATTTCATCTTGCTTCTATTGGGCACTGAGATAATTAAGCCTGAATTGTATTATTTATTTATTATATTTATGTCTATTTCTTACACATGCTTAAGGTTTATGAGAGTTTTGAATAAAAAAATTCCCACCGTATGGTGGGCTGCTTATTGAGGGCAGGCGCTAGATATCTTACTGCCTGATGCAGTCTCTGTGGGTCCTAAATTCTGAGACTCGAATCGACCATACGAGCCCTGGCACTGGTTCTGGGTTTATGTGAATAACAAATCATTTATTCTTAATTCAAATAGCCCTAAATCTAATCTTTGGGTCTATGAGTACCATCAACAAAATCTATTTTTAGCCATATGGATAGAAATTTTTGGTAAACTTTTCCCTGTCAACATATTTTAGTGCATTTAACTTAAATCTGTAATCATCGCCAAGCATAATGTCAACGTAAAAGATTACCGAACTCCTTTATTATTCAATTGATAACATAAAAAACTGTTTAGGCATCGCTACATGAGTCATTACTCAATTTGTCATGTTTTGATAAACATGTGGTGATGAAAGGAAAGTATAATAAATAATAATTTGCCAGGGTGGCGTCAGATTAACAATATATCTATGTGGAATGTTTTAGTTTGAGATGTATGCCAAGCAGATATGCAGAAATGGAGCCAAATTACTGACCATACAAATTTATGCTAAAATGATTGTTTCTTCAATAACAAGGTACTATTTTATTTAGTGTCTAAGTGAAATTAAGAATCAGGACTCTCCAGATGTTTTTTGTACTGTAGTATTCAGTATCTGTACTTCCGTATCAATGAAGCCAGATCATTGCTCTCATTCCCCCTCCAAAATATTATTCCCTTTACAGTTCCCCTTCCTTTTTCTATTTCATTTTATTTTATTTTTCTTAATTCCATAACTTCCTTTCCCTTGCAAAGACAGACTTTGGAGAACTTGATATAAGGTGTTAAGAGATGATTTTAGATGTCGAAGGGACTTAAACAGTCTGACAAGCGCCTTTCCTAAGCGTTAGTATTAAAAAATAATTATTAATACTATTACATACCATAATCATGTCATTTCCCATCAACAGCCTAAACCACTTTGGAATTGGAGCAGCATCACACCTCACCAGTACCACTCGCTTTCTGTGCTCACAGTAAAATACCTAATGGAAGAAATGAATTATTCAGCAAATGCTAACCATTTGCACTATATGAAAATCATATGTGATAAATTACAAAAGAAAAAGAAAATATGCATGTAAACTACAAAAAGTATAAAATTATGTGCAAGTTCCTTTTCACTGGGGAGGTTATGAAATATGTGCATGTAATGCAAAAAATTCAGATAAAATCATACTACATTTAAAATTAATAATTCATAAACTTACTTGCTGATGAGAAAAAGTAGATTTTGTGTATGCTTCAGAAACTAATACTATGACAACAGCTGCTTGATCAACCTTCTGTTGGAAGGTGCGCAGATGTTCTAGTTTTTCGGGACTCAGTGTAGACGGTTGACTTAAATCACTAAACTGAGACATTAATCGTGACAATGGTCTCCTACCTGTAAATAAATAAAGCAGTTTTAGGTATGCATATTATAGCATATATAAATATATTAAGAATTTAAATTACTTACAAGCCATTCTTAGCAATAATATCATAATATAAACATTAACAGAAATGGCTTTAAAGTAAATTTTTTTTTCAAAAATTCTACACTTAATGAAATCTGGCACCTGATTATTGCAGTCTGTTATTAAACTGACAACATATGTTGCATTGCTCATTAATGTAAAGAGCTGAGTGGGCAATGTGTTATCATTGATCTTATATTTTCTTTTTTCAAAAAATAAATAAATAAATAAATAAAATATCAAACTTTCATTTTTCATGGAATGAGGTAGATGTTATACAGTTAAAAAAAAAAAAAATTACCTCGCATTCAAATATGTGAAAATTGTCTTAGTCGCTATTTTATGAAATAAACACAACTTAATTTTAGGCTAAGAAATACGATACATATTTTTATTATGAAAGTTATAATTTTTTTTCACTTGAAATCTACAAATGAGTATTTTAAAAAAGGGAGAGGGTGCTAGCATTAATATAGGTTGCAATAATTAAAAAAATGCATTGTCTCACCATAAGTTTCGGGTTCTTTGTATATTGATAATGACTTTTTTTCTCCCATTGAATTAAACATCTCAACATCAGTCTGGCTGAAGAAAACATCTCCTTCTTGTATAGTTGGTAAATTTCTAGGTGTGAGAGGATCGGTTAAAACTGTATCTTCAGATCCCATATTGGCTTGAGTATCAATGAGATCAACAGAGCACCATATCTCATGACCAGCTTTTTCAAACATTGTTTTTAAGTCTTGGGCCTACAAGAAATGCATGAAAAATTATTCAGTTAAAAGATGCCCAAAAAGGCCAAGATTTTTTTTTCCTCTTATAAAAATTTATAAAGACATATCTATTATCATTTATCTCCAAATATGTGGGAAATGAACTTACCAGGTACCTTTGCCTTGGATGTGCACTAATTACAATGCTTTGTTTAGATTCTTCATTATAATCTTCTTTACAATAATAATCCTCCCTTGCAGAAAGCAATGGTTTGCTAACTGCACGCTAAAATTAAACAAAACAAAAACAGAAAATCATTAAACTGTCATAATTTTGAAATTGCTGAAAAAAATTCTAGCATTATTTAGCAATAATTTATACTATATATGAAGATGGTTTATTAAAGAGAAATACTACAAATGTGTACATTTCATGTGTATTCACATATATGTATATCAGCATACTACTTCTTTTTAAATGCAAATATACACATATGTGAACAAAAACGAATGTGCAACTACAATAACTAGAACTTTTAAATGATTTTACAAAACATAGAATAAGAATTCTCATACTCCATTTAATATGTCTCTATTTAATCAATACATATTATTCTTTTATTAAAATAAACACATTTTTTCTTAAATTATAGATTTTGATTTTTGTTTAGTATACATTTCAGAATGTTACCAGTCTAATTATATAACAGTCTGACAAAGTTAAGTGTTAGAATATTTTTTCCAGAATTTATAATTTAATATAACCAAACAAAGGATTAAAAAAAACTATCCAGTGTTTAAATGAAAAGAACAGCAATCATGCTTCTATATCCTGATGATTCAATACACTTTGTTTATCAGTGCCCAAAAGTGTTCTAATGAAAGAAATGTTATCCTCTGAAAAATGAGAACTAGTTGCAACACTAATAATACAGCAACCTAAACCAACATTCCCTTAACTTTTAGACAAATATGCATGCATTAATCAAACCTGCATTCTAGTGCTCATGCTTTATTTTGAAGGAAAAAGATTTTCATTGTTCTGCAATCACTTGAAAATGTATATCTATAGTAATATATCTTCACTACTGTATTATCTCTTGAGAATTGTCTTAAAATATCAGAATCCTTTACTTTTATATTTAAATAGTAAATGTAAATGCATAATTCTACAAATAATGCACTTTATTTGATGTTGGCAATATATTACTGCAGATTTAATCAACTGAACCTTAACGCATTTGTGTATGTTATATGAACATATTGTATATGAAATTTACCATTATCTATAGTATGTTATGGAAAGTATTACTTTGCAGACATACGGGCACTAATGCATATGGGCTTATTAAGATTAATATCTATATAGAATTAATCTATATAGAATTAAATTTGTCTATATAGAATTAAATTTGTATTAAACAATAAAGTACATTTTAAAAATGAAAAATATTTAATAAGTGAATTTACCATAGTTTCTTTTCTAGATAAACTTCGTTTTGGTAATTTACTGTAATTTTCTTTGTAGCATTCTGCTATCTGTTTTGCAACTCTTTTCACATACGTTGGTTCCCAAACTCTGCGATCAGAAGATTTTTCTACTTCACCTTTCACTGAAAATAAAATTACTTTACTCTGCAAATCAAATGTAAATGAGGAAAATAACACATAGAACAGATGTATGAAACCAAAAAATAAGTTCTGATTCATATCATGAAAACATTCAGATAATATTGTTACAAAATTTATATTTTATCTTTACGAAATAGCATTTTTTACAAAGGACAATAATATAGCTAAAAAATATGTAGAAATTGTTAAATATGTGTATAGCTAGTTTACAGGCAACAATCATCTTCTTCTTACATATGAATTGAGTGACATTAAATTGCACAAACCTTTTTCACTTTATAATTATTTATTTTAAAAAATTTACAGAAGAATTATAATATTCTCTAATATTAAGAAAATTTAGGTATAAGACTTTTTTTCTGCAATAATGTCTCAGTATGAATTAATTAAAAATAAATAATATGCTTGATATGTGCATTTAAAAACATTTTACTTATTCAAAAGGCAACAGAAATCTGCTTTTTCTTTTCATCCGCAGTTCTCAATCTATTTGCTCTGCTGCAATCCTTAAAATATTTCCAAATCTACTTAAAATTATAATATTTATTTTGAATAATATATAATTATCATCAACATATCAATAATTAGGAATCCTTTTTTGTATCAAATTACTTTTCTCTGTTTATTTTAAAAATTATGACTAATAAAAGTCATTCAAACAAGTAATTTCAATTTCACCTTTTTCATAACCTTTTATTTTAATTTGTTTAAATCTTATCCAAACATATATTAAATTTCTTGAATTGCAGACTCTTCAGACTCATTTTCTCAAGTAGATTTTAAAAGCCGTTTATAATATCTGCAACCTACTGCCACATGTTTTGTTCTATTGTAAAAGCATGTTTTTATATAGCTCAAAACTATGTAATAACTTTATTATCTTAATGTAATGAAGAAGTAAAGTAAAAATAATATTTTTTATTTTAAATTTTGAATAAGAAAAGTGTAATCTACTTTATATTTCTTCAAAAATAAGAAACAGAAACTGAATTTAAAGGAAAAATGTTTTAATCAAAATTTTCTAGACTATGGATTTTCAAAGTTTTTTCTATGAAAAGGGTGTGCCTGCATATAGCTTGACAGCTTTCTTACATCTCATTATCAACATGAAACTCTGAAATAAAGGCCAAATCCAAATTTAATTTTTTAACACCTTTGTCGCTCAGTGTGATTCGAATGAGTTTTTCGCTAGACCCAAATCAAACTGTCAGCAGGGCGGGATTTTACTATAGGCTAACTAGGCTTCAGCCTAGGGCCTCAAGATCAAGAGGGACCTATGTTAAAATTGTTAGCAAAATTAAAATTACACTATTCTAAAAACAGTGAACACTAAAACACTGAACCGAAAATAAGGAGAAATTCTATGCATGTGACTAATAAACAAACATAAAAATGTATCGGTTAAGATCAACGCATTCGGCTCATTGGGTCCGTTCTTTTGTGTATACTAAATTGCACCATACTCATTGGGTATGGTGCAATTTGCATTCGGCTCATTGGGTCTATACTAGAAGTATAGTTCATATGTTCACTGATTGCTATGGCAAATATTGAAATGCTTTATGCCACTAAGCTCTGGTTTGTTCTTGCATAAATAAAGTGCAGATTGGTGTAGATTGAAACAGACAAACGAACAGACCCGTTGATATACCAATGTTCGGTTATATTTAACTTACTTCAAAAATTTAATTTAATTTGAGAGAAAATATGATAATTTTTATTGCGTATTTTATTTCTGTTGTCAAAGATTTTCATTATTTGAATTTTGTTTCTTTGGAAACGTTGTGCGTTATTTTTATTTATTGTTACAAGTACCATATATCTTGCTGAGAATAAATGTTCAAATAAGTGTTCTCGATTTTTTTTTACTTACTATCCATACCACATCTTTTATAAAGGTTAGTACCAATCACAACATGTTTCATTTAACATATTGATATACAGTCTTTAATCCGGACTCGTCGGGACTTCGGCGATTCCGGATTATCGATTTTTCCAGATTATAGATCAGTTTAAATCTGGTAAGATGGCATGCAGAAATTATAAAATTAAAAATATGAAACCGTAATTTATGAAATAAAGAACAAATAAAGAACAATTATAGGGTATCAAAATTTACAAAAAAAAAAAAAAAAAAAAGCTTAATATTTATTTGTTTACTTTATTAAACATTTCTTTCAACGTGCGCATGTGTAAAGCATACAATACACATAGTTGAAATTAGAAAATTGCAACTAGAAAACTATTTGATTTGTATTCGTGATATTTATAATGACTAGGAATTGATTTAAATCACATCAAAGAAGGAGTACATCGAGATGAAATACTACATTTAATAAGGAATTATAAGCCGAATAAAATAAAAACATCTGCCCTGAAGATAAGGATAGTGTTGACAGATCAACTTCCAGTTCAATGCACGCTGCAACATCCCCCCCCCCTCCACAGAGCAGCGTGAAATTGATAAACAGATTTCGGAATGGTTAGAGAAACAAAGGATATGCCTTTATCCATTTTTTGCAGCAATTCCACTTTTTGTTTGATGGACATCGAAACATGTTTTCGCTTTGTAGATCCTTTGGCAGCTCCAGAATCGGAAATTCTTTTTGACATAATCGAAAGTTCAAGCTTACTTTTATAAAATTGCTCTAACAGTCAGCAAAAAGTAATAAGATAGATCCAATTCGAAGATTAAGGAACAACGCAATCTGCAACATTAACTGAAATAAATAATTAGATAATTTTAGTTTAGCTTATACCGTCCGTTATACATTAAACGCGCATAGGTAGACGCATATGGGCATGCGTAAAGGTATTATGCGCATACGTTGACGCATGTGCAGAAAGTTTGTAGCTTTAAGGTCCGGATTAAAGACTTTTGACTCTACATACTGATGAATATGTGAAGTTAAATCACAAAAAAAAATTTATTTGGGCTAATAATTCTTGCTTATGTGATGCTGAGAAAATCCACTAACTAAACCTAAAAGCATAAATAATAAATGGGATAGCTGCATTAATATTATACAGATTCTAAAATCCTTTTATCATACAGATTCCGAAATCTACAGGAACAGTTTTATACAACGTCTTGTTTTTCTTTGAAATATAAGCTATTTTGGATTTAAACTACATAATATAATATTTCTTACCGTGATCAGTATCTTGAAGTTTCCAAGGAATATACTGAGTTGATGCAAATTGAATAGCTAAACAAGGTGGAGGCCAATGCTCCATGAAATTTACAGGAATAATCCTTTTTCCTAGAACATCAGCAAGCTTTACCTGGAGTAAATAATTTAATAAAATATTATTAATGAAAATAAACTTTTAGCATTTATTATAAATAAAGATAAATATCTTCAATTTGAAAAATGCCATGAATCTTCAAAGTTCAAACCCATTTATAATAAAACCCAGTTATAGTGAATTTATGAATTAAACAAGCTTAATAGTTGTTTCATGACTTTTACTCTAAAAAGGACGTTAAATTTATTTATTATGAAATATTTTCTAAGTGGCAGACTAATTTTTTTCCTCTTCATTCTTTTTGTGTAATCTAGTGGCAGAAAATATTATGTGCCTCTCTGTAGATACTACATAGAGGTCTTTTTTCCCCTCTTCATAAAGAGAAACACATTTGCTTACAAAACAGAAAACAGGCTTTTTTTGGTGACAAATGAATACTAGAGCAAAAATTCAAACATAGAAACTAGATCCCTGACTTGCCTTCAGATCATGAATGTAGTTTTGGTCTGATGGTTGATACATTGGGATAGAAAATAACAGTTCCAGGATTTGACTCCATCTAATGAAAGCAGCATTTAGACTGAAGATGATACCCTTTTCAGCAAAGGTGCTACTATTGATTGTAGGTGCCAAAGTGGTAACAATTGAGCCATGAACACTACTTCTTTCAATCAACTGAAACAACAGTGTCATAATATCTGGTCTCAGCTCAACGAGTTCACACATGCCCATGCCAAAACAGAATTTGCTGAAATCACACATGATGCTAAAAGTACTAAGAGTAGTACAGTCAAAAGTCGTTAATCCGGACTCGTCGGGACTTCGGCGATTCCGGATTATAGATCATCAGTTTAAATCTGGTAAGATGGCATGCAGAAATTACAAAATTAAAAATACGAAACCATAATTTATGAAATAAAGAACAATTATGATCTAAAGGGTATCAAAATTTACAAAAAGAAAAAGCTTAATATTTATTTGTTTACTTTATTAAACATTTCTTTCAATGTAAGTTGTTTAAGTTGCTTCGTTTCATGTGATAATACTTTCTCTTTAATTCTATTAAACAGACATAATTTCTTGTTTAGTTACAAAGTTCCGCTGTTCAAGTTCTATAATTGCTGTGTCGAGAATACTGACTAATTTGTCAATCGAAATGTTTTCGTTTTCAATAACCTCTCTGTCACTTTCTTCACTATCGGAAGCGAATTATAATGACGAGGAACTTGATTTAAATCATATCAAAGACGGAGTACATCGAGATGAAATACTACATTTAGTAAGGAATTATAAGCCAAATAAAATAAAAACATCTGCCCTGAAGATAAGGATAGTGCTGACAGGTCAACTTCCAGCGTTGGCGTTTCTCCCCCCCCTCACTGCCGCAGAGCAGCGTGAAATTGATAAACAGATTTCGGATTTCAAAACATACTTTCGCTTTATAGATCATTTACATATTAGTAGATATATATCGGAAACTCTATTTGACATAATCGAAAGTTCAAGCTTACTTTTATAAAATTGCTCTAAACAGTCTGCAAAAAATAATATGCCGGATCCAATTTGAAGATTAAGGAACGACGCAATCTGCAACATTAACTGAATTAGATAATTTTAGCTTAGTTTACCGTCCGTTATACATTAAACGCGCATGCGTAAACGTATTATGCGCTTGTGCACATGCACATTCGCAGCCGTAAACGCCTATGCGCATGCGTCAACGTGACGCATGCAGAGAAAGTTTGTAGCTTTGAGGTCCGGATTATGGGTGTCCGAATTAACGACTTCTGACTGCATAACAGCATGTTAAATGTGGAAAATAGATCTTCAGCTTGCCATAAGATCATGAGTGCACTTTTTATCTGATTAAGCATCAAGTTATCAGGCAATAGTTTATGGGCTTAATTCTAGCTAATGAATTTAATGTTTTGGAGCATTTACAGATATTTTCCTCAACAGATGGTGCCACCACTTCAAAGATTCTTTCACTTACACATCATATATCATAAGCATCAGAGATATCATAGTTGCATCCTTCTCAAACAAATCACTCTTCACAAACAGAATATAAATGCCAGCATTTTTCTTAGTACTAATTTATTCAATAGTACCCTTACTTTGATGTTATATTTTATCACAGTTCATTTTGACTGCATGCTAAAACTCCTACTTATTTTAAAGCAAAAATGTTATAAAAAAGTAAATGTTTAACTTAGTTGAAAACTGAATTATACATAAATATGAAGAAGGTAAAATGTAACTAAAGAGTATAGAATTCTCCATATTTGTTGTCAACAATTTTGAAAAATTGCTTAAATTCTTAAGGAGAGTTGAAAATCAAAAGAAAAGAGAAAGAAAATTTGTTCCACTCTGTATGTTGGTGACAAAGATGCTTTAATCAATGGCTTTATAGAAACTAGGACCCAAAGCCAATGATACAGTGTATCAGAAAGTAATTGTGCCTATTACTAGGCCAATACTTCAATACAAGTTCTGAGAATTAGGAATGTACTTATGATATGAAAATTTTTATCCTAAACCCTGAGATTAGGATAAAAATTTTCATAAGTTTTCATTCATTTTAAGATAAAGGATAATTTTAAATTGCCATGAAATAATCTGCAACACTATTTCTGGTCAGGCAAAAGAATACACAAATTAACACTGATGATTGGTTGCCAAATGTAAAAAGAATTTTGGAATTCCTAGATTGAAAAAATAAACTGTAAACGACAGATGAGATATTGCATTTTATGCAGCATAAGGATGGCAACAGTAAACACAAGTTCCTTATTACAGGGAAAACAGCAGAATAATATATCTCAAAAGTTTAAATCTCAATAATAGTTTCATCTGATACAGAAGTAGATAAAATGTGTGAATGACACAAAACATTTTTTGAAAAACTGACTTATGCAGTTTGACTTGAGAGGTGAGAGAGCTTAACACATAAAGGTAGTTTTGTTGGTTGATTAACTGTACTGTTCACAATATCAAACCTTCATTATCAGCAAATAAACTTTACTTTTTCCTTCCAATATTAGGCTATAAACATCCAGCATTTAGCATCATTGTTGGTTCTGAAGCCACTGTCCATAACTAAATTATTCAATATTTATTCATATGACATGAACAAAAAATTATGTATAAACTTACCTTTAGTGTAAAAATACATACAGTACAAAGTCTGTAATCCGGACTCATCTGGATCAGGGTTTTTTTTTTCAGATTATAGATCTTTAATTTAAATCTGGTAAGATGGCATGCAGAAATTATACAATTAAAAATATGAAACCGTAATTTATGAAATAAAGAGCAATTATGATCTAAAGGGTATCAAATTTTACAAAAAAAAGGGAAGCTTAATATTTATTTGTTTACTTTATTAAACATTTCTTTCAACGTGCGCATGCATAAAGTTTGTGGTTTTGAGGTCCGGATTATAGATCATTCCGGATAATGGATGTCTGGATTAAGGACTTGTACTGTATTGAAATGAAACTGTTCTATTAGTGATTTTACCATACCCAACTAAATGCTTAGATTCCAAGGATGATGATTTACAATGCTTAAGAGTATGATGCTGTTAACAGACTTTCCAAATGGAGTATTTTTATTAAATTCTGTAATGCTGATAATTTCAAGTTTTTCTGATGCCGAAATCAAGAAATAAAATTTCTGGTGATTGAAACTATGACAAGAGGGAAGACCTTACTGAAGCAAATCCATTAATAGTTGCAGAGACCTTTTCCAGTTAGATAATTTTAATATATAATGGTTTTTACCCTCAAAACAGCATACAGGACATATAATGATAGCTTACATCATTTAATTTTAGCTTAAAATCAAAACAAAAAGCAAGGTCACTTGCGAATTGGATAAGTGAAATTAAATATTTTAGAAAATATTTGAATTTTTACTATTACCCTTATGCTTTCAACATGGACCGATTCAATAGCATTTGTAAAATGTATTCCAGAAGTTTAAATAAAATTTCCAATGATATACATAAAAATAAACAACCTCTTCAAATCAAAATAGACAAGTATTTTTATGTATTTCGACAAAGATTTTTAGAAAAGCTGAAGTCAGACACCTGCACTCTATTAAAAAAAAAAAAAAAGTAAAGAAACAAATTGGAGTTAATAGTTCTTTGAGAAAGATGACGATCTTAAGAAAATATGTATCAAAATGGTGTCATTGAGGTTAGAGTAGAGAGAAGGGTTACCCCTTGTATTATCGGGAAGTTGTTGTTTCATTTATGGTAGCCTAAGTAGTTGAATGTTATGGAAACCCTATTATGATGTAATCAGTTGTATGATTACCGTAAATTCATAAGAGCTTGTGGTGTGCATGTGTGTTGGTTAGGAAGTATATTGCTTGTTTTGTGATTCAGACGATAAAATGGCTGAATGTGATAAGATTAATTTGAAGTTTCTGTATGATTTGGAAAGAAAGGGGAAAAAGAGCATTACTTGACTGGTGTGTAAATGAAGGTTTACTTAGTAGCCATTATTAGCTGTCCTGTTTATAGGAAGGAAATGCCTACTGTCGAATGTTGCTACAGAGGATATTTTTTACTCTTATTTTGTGAATTTATATGGCGATGCCAGTATACATATTCTGGTTCAGAAGATTTTAGAAAGTTTTTGGATGCTGTTAAGGAATTTTGTTTGACTGAAGACGTGTTAATTCAAAAATAAGGTAAGTGATTATTTCCTTTGTGCAGTGCAAAGATAAATTTCCTTTTTTATGTTATTTCATTGTTTGATTTAAAATGTAATTTATTGAGATTATATATTTTTTGGTGTCTGCTTCTTTGACATTTAAGTAAATATGTGTACATGGACAAAGTCAAGGGAGTGCGCAAAGCCTAGTAAGTGAAAATAGGTTGATATGTACATGGATACTGAGTTTTTGCAGTTCTTTGTTGTTATTTTGGCTTTGCGTAGTGGCAATTGCCACTACACAAGCCAAAGAATTGCACAAACTTGGTATCCATGTACTGCCAAAAATTGCCAAGGGGTACCCATAAATATACTTTTACTGTCATTGAAGATAAATACAGTCAAAAGTCGTTAATTCGGACACCCATAATCAGGAATGATCTATAATCCGGACCTCAAAGCTAAAAACTTTCTGCGCATGCGCCGCGTTGACACATGCGCATAGGCATTTACGCATGCGCGTAAGACCTTTTATGACTGCGCATATGCATGTGCACAAGCGCAGAAAACGTTTTTGCATGCGCGTTTTATGTATAACGGATGGTATAAGCTAAAATTATCTAATTATGTATTTCAGTTAATGTTGATGATTGCGTTGTTCCTTAATCTTCGAATTGGATGTGGCTTATTATTTTTTGTAGACTGTAAGAGCAATTTTATAAAAGTAAACTTGAACTTTCGATTATGTCAATTCCCGGTTCTGGAGCTCCCAAAGGATCTACAAAATGAAAGTATGTTTCGATGTCCATCAAACAAAAAGTGCAATTGCTGCAAAAAATGGATAAAGACATGAAGAAGGTGACAGAGAGGTTAGTGAAAACGAAAAAATTTCAATTGACAAGTTAGTCTTATTCTCAGCACAGCTATTACGGGACTTGAACAGCGGAACTTTGTAAATGAACAAGAAATTATGTCTGTTTATAGAATTAAAGAGAAAGCATTATCACATAAAATGAAGCAACTTAAACAACTTACATTGAAAGAAATGTTTAATAAAGTAAACAATATAATATTAAGCTTTTTTTTTTTTTTTTTTTTTTTTTTTTTAATTTTGATACCCTTTAGATCATAATTGTTCTTTATTTCATAAATTACGGTTTCATATTTTTAATTTTATAATTTCTGCATGCCATCTTATCAGATTTAAACTGATGATCTATAATCCGGAAATATCGATAATCCGGAATCGCCGAAGTCTCGACGAGTCCGGATTAACGACTTTTGACTGTATCAAGATTTACAAAAGAAACAGAAAAATGGTATGGTGTGCAGTTAAGCGAATAGCCAAAGAACAACTAGATAAAAATCACTATCCCAACAAAATGAAAAACATAATATAAAATAGGATCTGATTTATCATCAGTTAAGTTACAATAAAAACAGCTGAATAATGTATACTGATATAATTAACACTAAAATAATTAAACCATTTTAATCAGGGGATAATTAAAAAAATTATGTAAATAAAATTACACAGTACCTCTCGGTTAGTCCACTGTGTTTTCCCATACATTGGGGTAATAAGAGGAACAAAGAGAAAACAATGTGTCACTGCAAAATTCAAAGCATCTTGCCAGTCTGAACCTGTTTTTATTTCATGTACATCCTTAAAAAGAAATAATGAACAAAAAATTAACATGTATTATATATATAAATAATACCTAAAAAATCATAAGCTCAATGCCATCTGCAATATGCACATACAAAACTCCTTCAATGGTGAAGGAGACACAAATGCAAATTATACCCTATTACTCTAAAATAGGCACTTCGAGGTTGCAGCAAGCCTCCCCTCATTTAAGATCGTAACGTGTGTTATCTCTCTGTGTAGAGAGATTTAGGGAATTTTATGAAATTAGAGGTTTCAACTTTTTTTTTTCCAGTGATGTCTTTGAGGTGTCTATTTTTAAGTAACAGACTACTGACGCTGCAAATGAAAAATGTCAACATGAATTACTTTTTTTAATTGCTTGCAAGATAATGAATTTGCTACTATTGTAATTTCCTACTCAACATAACTGAATTTGAAATATCTTAGCTAAATTAGATTTCATTTACAAAGAAAATAATTAACTTACTCAATTAAAATAGAAACAAAAACTGGATCATAATTTGATACTGAATGTATTTCATTTCACAATATAATGCATTTTCAAAATTGTGTCAGAGATCGTATTTTATTTAATATTTTACGATAAACCAGATACTGGTTATCTAACAAATTATTCATTCATAATTAGTAGTATTTTTCAAAGAATGTCATGCTAATCGTCTAAATTAATTATTCTCTAATCTTTAATAGCTGCATGTTATTATTTATAATCATTAATATATATTATACAGTTTTCCTTACTAATCTTATAAATGTTCTTTATGCAGATAATAAAATGTCTCTAAAGTTGGTTAATTAATTAATATAATAATACTAAATGTTAAAGTAATTAATATAATAACACTAAATATTAAAGTAATTAATATAATAATACTAAATATTAAATTAATTAATGTAATAATGCTAAAGCATGCCAGAGATATGTATAAATAAATAACATTATGAAAAGTTTGGCATGAACTAATTGGTATTTTGTTGCTTTTACACTTGATCACTAAATGAATACTACATACATATAACTTAAATTAGAATAAGAAAGCAAAGTTACCAGGTAGACATTGAATTTGAGAGAAACAAGTTCTTGCTTCAAATCTAAAGCATACTGAGCCGCTTCTGCTCGCACATAACTTATCAGAATAGGGTTGTCCTTCTCAAGTCGCATTCTCTTGTCACTTCCAGTTCTTATTTTTGTAGACCCGTCCCTACTGAAATTAAATAAATACATATTAAACATACTGGGTATTTTCTTTAGGATATCAAAACTTTCTTTGATTATATTCTAAATTTAAGAAATAAAATACTAATTTTGTGTCAGAGTCACAGATTCTCGGTTAAATATATTTAGGTAGCCCGGAGGGATCTTTAAATTTAGCGGCTGCTTGATAATGCAAGAATATGTTCAAATAGTTTTTTAAATCATACATTTATTTATAAATTATTTGCACTATTGAAAAAATTAACAGGCATTACTCTTCTTTTCTGCCAACTAAAATTCAGATTTCTGTTAATATAGTATGAAAAATAATTCACTGGTATTCCTTTGTTGAATTATTTTGGCAAAATTTCTTTTAACACCAGACAACTATCTATTTTTGAAGATAAACTACTATAGGAAATCTGAATAAATTGCTGGTCACAATATACTGCAATACACTTACCTAGTTTTAGGAACTCTTTTACCTCCCTCTGGATCTTCTATTATATCATGCTCAATACTTGGCTGACTTTTAGTAGGAGATGTCTGAGCAGAAATTATGGATGGCTGTCCAGGTTCATATAAAAGGGATACACTGTTTCTTTCTGTACTTTGTATACACACAACTTGGCCTAACATTATATCCACCACAGACAAAATTGGTTCTTGGTTTGGCATGACAGGCCACCCATTTCTCTCTAAAAACCTGTATTCTACCCTTAATCGTTGAGATATTTTTAACTGAAATGAAAAGATAAAGAAAACTGTATTTCTAAAATACAATACTAAAATCTGCTACACTGAAAATGATTCTTGATGAAGAAAATTAATTTGAAGATTAATATATATGATTTGAAACATACCTGTTGTTCAATAATATCTCTAAGCTGCTTTACATTGACATTCAAATCTGTAAATATAAAACCTATGTGATCACCAGTTGAAGTAATTATACCAACTCGTGGCTTTTCTGCAAAAGAATTACATATTAATAACATTTTTTCCTTTCATGTAAAAAAAATAATTTTAAATATATATTTTATCATATTATTATAAATTTCACTAAAATGAATAATTCTAAGATTGCTGTCCAAATGTAAAATTGAATATTTTTTTACACTTAGACTAATCGAAAAGATTAAAAAAATATAGATATACTATAAAAGTTAGGCATGATCAGAACATATGGCATATGATCAGAACAACTACTAAATAATTTTTTAAACCAATATAAGTTATGACATTAGGTTAGCTTAAGTTATTTAGATTATGGCAAAGCATGCAAGAGCTATCTGCCTAATGATGTCTTCATGAAACACTTTTTATAAGAAATTGCTTTTGATATGAACCTGAGTTCAACTATAAACATACCATTAACTATCTCACCACTGCTGATGGGCAATAAGTTTCAATCAGTCTTATTTATAAATAAGCAAAAACATTTTCAGAAAGAGATCTATTTCTGCTCTATCTGTATAGATTTTAATTCATATGAAAAGAAAAATATTTGAGTTTGGAGGATACAAGTTGTTAACTCATGTTAATAGTTTTTAGTTTAGGATAATACTTGCAAAATTAAAAATTATACAACTGTCTTTAAGTTGTATAATACTTCACAAATAGTCAAGAACTCCATAAAGACATTTCAACACTATTTCATATATTGATTTATTTATTTTCAAGAAAAGTATATTTAACGCACTTAAAAATGTTTTATTGCATTGTAAAAATTTCAAGCACAGAAATGTCAGAGTGGATCTGCACTGCAAGACTGACTGCAACCTTTATTATGTGTATGCTTTGCACAGTGTGTAAAGTTATAAACATATTTCCTTAACATTAAAAGTTTAAATTAATTACCATATTATGTATTTATAAATTATTATAATTTTCAAAAGCAAAATCTAGTTGAGACATTAGAACTAACCTCCCAAACATCACATACAAATCCCTTTTATTCATTACAATCATTAATTCTTTATAATATAATTTTTTGTATCATTTACAGGCTAGTAAAAATATTTCAGGTTAAAAAATTGAAAAATATTCTAATCCAGAACAACAATAAAATACAGCAACAACTCAATTAATTAAAAGAATATTTTAGAAAGCTAAATGAATAAATACACATAAGATTGTTTGATCTATAATGAATAACCAGTATTTTATGAGATAAAAAGTTTCAACATTTAAATTTACAAATAAAATTTATATAAAATAATAAAATTATAAAAGAAAAATTAGCAATATAATTTAATTTTATATCTAGCGTTTTAAAAACATAAAAACTACTTAATGCTTAACAGATTATCAAATATTTTTAAATACCTGTTTGATTGAAACAAACTTACCAAATTCTTTTTTAATACAAATACAGTTGTTTTCACTAATAACATGACTAGCTTTCAGTTTGTGTTCCTGAAGTTTAAAAATAGGCCACCTACAACAAAAAATGTAATAGTACATTAAAATAAAGGGGATTAATAATTCAAACTAAAGGTATAAAATTTCCAAGCTTCCAAAAATTAATTTTTTAAATGATAAAACATTTTTCTTAGCGCTCTTTGGATTTCTTTCTTTATTTGAAAAAAATTATAGAAGTCTTTATTATATAACTTCCACAACAGCATTACATGTGCAGTAAAATAAATCGTTTAAATATGAATAAAATAAAAGGATTGTATAAAAAAATTACTATACATAAGAACTTATTATCATTTACACGCTTAAAAAGTGACAGCAAATAGATAAATAAAATAGCATTTTCTAATATCTAATAATATTTAAATCTCCTAGCTGCCGTATGTCTCTGGCATTTTGAGAGTTTAAAAACTCATACACATTTTTAAGAAGTTACCGATAATTTAATAATATAATTTATTACAGCTTTGCACTGATTTGCACATGAAGTATCCCAAAAATAATAAAATGTACGATTGTGAAGAAGAATTATCGCAGAACCAGAAACAACCTACAAGAATTAAATTTTGAAAGATACCCACCCCTTTATTTCATTAATTACATGTGGATAACTTACCCGTCTTTGGTAAGAAAATTAAAGGAGGCAGGTAGGCACGGTAGTTCTGTACACATAAGACGACGGAGATCATCCAAAGTCAATTTTAAATTTTCTATACAAACAGTCCCAAGAACAACTGCTTTATTATCGGAAGATGCAACACTTTTTCCAAGAGCCCTGTCGTCGACAAGAACTACCCCGATGATCTCCAGAGACTTCTTGACCAAACTCATATTCCCCACTTCTGAATAGTTTCGAAAAGTTATGTTTTCGTCTTCCGAAACGTTCGCAAGGTGCATAGCTTCCGGCGAATAAAGTTTCGCGGACAAATTGTTCGTCGTAACTGGGTTTTGAGGTAATCCAGGTGCCATGGAATTAAATGCACATAAATAAATAAGATTTGATTCTAAAAAATACGAAGATTTTTCGCAGCGAAAGTGAAAAATTCCTTTTTACGTCTTTAAATTCCCAGTTATTTAAATTTCTAAATGAGACACTTTGTTTTAGCAGTGGTCGAAGCGTTTGAAAAGTCGATATTATCGCAGTTATAAACGCAGCTCATCACAGTCACTTCCATCACTAGTATCTGCAGGCATCTTGGATCTCATACGACTCATATGTAAGGATGATCGTTGGGAAGGACCAGAATTCCAAGAAAGTTACGTGCTGTAACACTGTCTTCGAATCGACGGGGAGTACTGGCAACCGGATGACGTTTCTGTCACTAAACAACTAAAGTTAGTAGGTTTGCCATAAAATGATTCAACGCCAACTGGTGATTTAATTTGGCGCCAATGGCTCGATAGAATTTGACAACTCGAATTCACTTTTCAAACTACAGTAGAACTCAAATTATCGGGATGAGTTGGGAACACAGTTTATTCGAATGATTGTAAAATCCAATAAATAATTTATCTTTTTTTTTCCCTGTTAACTAAATTACTGGTATGCAAGGCAGGTAAATTTGTTTTTTCGTTCATCCCGTTTTACTGCAACAAAGCCTGTGCAGTTAAAATGAAAGAATTATATTTATTTCCTTTATACAAAAATCAAAGTACGCTGATTTCGACAAAACCGAATGATTAAATTTTGTCATTGCCTTAAACCAGGAAACTATTTTTAATATTTCTTGAAACAGAAGGCATAAGTTATTTCTATTTAACTGAAATCAAACTACGGACAATTTTTTTATTATGTAAAATAATAAAATTAGTATTATATTTAACTAATATTGTAAAATTAATATTGCCGGCTGTAGCCAATGCTAACGGTGCCGTCAAATCGGGCAGTAGAATCTAGAGATGGCAAAAATTTAGAATTTAGGAAGATTCTGCGCAACAGAATTTAGAAGCAACAGAAAGCAGGGAAAAAAGTCTGGCACCAACAGTGATTATAATGTATAATTCTTATTTTTACTAAGTAATGACTCATTATTCTAATCATTGCTAAGTAATGACTCTGTGTTGTTATTATTATTATTGCTAAGTAATGAGCTCGTGTGATTGCTAAATAATTACTCACGTAGTAAATTTAAAAAATGAATAAATAAATAAAAACCTGTAATCAGACATATAAGCACGTAATTAATTTCCCATTAATTTTTGTAAACTACTTATTTGCCAAATAATATGTATTATTAAATAAAATGACTCAAATTTATACGATTAGTTTATTGGCTTGAAATAAATCTCCTGCTTTAAAATAAACTAATGACACTACAGAACTACTTTTTATAATGCCATGCACTAGATTTCAAATCGTAATGCACAATATATCCACATAATGTCCGTCTTTTTTCCTTTAATGGAATGTGTTGCGTCTTTTTTATAATTTTGGTTTCATTAAACTGCTCATCAAGTTAGGTTTTATTTTTGTCTCACATTTTCTTATACCATTATTTTTTCTGCTTATGAGGACAGAACCTTCATTTAGCAAATTTAGGATCGAGACTTACGTCTACTTCATAGTCCTTACCAAAATCATAGATATTTCGATTATATAGGTAACGTTTTTGTATACACCCTCTTAAATCTGCTAGAAACCCTTCAAGTTTCTATAATGCAACGTTATTTTTGTAATATTTAATTCTCCTATCTTGATACTGAGGATCCAATTCCACGAGCTTCTTCTTACCACCCTCTCATTATATGACATCGTTTTTTTCATGTAATTTGCAGTAACTTCTAAAAGCTGACTAATAAAAAAGTCGCTTTGGAAACTTCTGCTTTTTCTCTTTTCATGACATACACTGCTGGCCCTTAAAAATTACTACGTAATGAAGGCGGCATGCAAGGAAAAAAAAAAAAAAAAACTATGTCAAATTTGAACGAAAGGTACTTACTACATGATGGAATATGCATTCCAGCTTATGAGCACTAAGCCAGTAACACAATCATTGTGGGGCGACGCCATGATATAAATGGGAAGACTACACAGCGGATTTCTCATGTGGATATTGCATTTGAAAGTTAACTATTTGTGTAAAGGTCGTGTTATGCCTCTGTGAGAAGAAACTCCTACTAACTTGAGTCGGTATTCGATAGCGGCAAAATCATGGTCCATCAGGACTACCGTTTATCGTTTCGCGACATTACTGTTCGTGTTTTTCGGGATCCCATGACTGTCAGGAGCATATGGAATGGATGGGTCCAGGATCGCCGTACTGAACGCCATGCAGGACTCTCTGCAGCTCCAAATTATTAACGCTCAAAAGCACAATATTATCCTCTCGGCTTTGTGGGATCGTGGAGCCACACCATGTACCCTCCGTGATTGATTTTTCTCAGAAGCAGGACGATCGGTGTCCGCCCGGATAGTGCGACGATGTCTGCAACACCAAGGACTCTTTGGTCTAGGACTGTCAGCAAAGAGTGCCCGGGTACAACTGAAGTCTTCTCTTGACGCTGCAACAGAGACAGGCGGGCCTAGAGTGGTGCGACGAACGATAACAGTAGACACAAGATTGCCACCACGTCATCTTTTGAGTAGAATTCCGGTTCTGTGTGCTGCATCATGATGTACATATCCGTGTTTGAACCACACCAAGAAGAATTAACAGAGGCAGCTTGCATTCATCATCGTCATACGGTCTTAGCATGTGGCATACAGAGCCGTAGGTAGGATTTCCAGTGCCCGCGTACAACTGAAGATTTCGCTTCCCGTCTATACCCCAAAATGGAAAACATTACATTCTAAACATTCCTAGCATCAATTTGGCGCCCCCTGGATGTTTTCGCCTTGGGGCAGGTGTCCCCCCTTGATCTTCTCTAGCTACGCAATTGGTGGCGTGTTGGTATGGGGTGCCATGGGGTACATATTTCAGTCACTTTTTGTTCACATAGTCGGTAATGTGGACAGCCACCTTTACATTTCTGACGTATTAATGTGTGTGTGTGTATGGCAAAGCCTCGAGGGCTATCTGCCTAAGAGGAGGGATGCCTTCGTGGAGGACTTTCTAAGGAAAACTGGCTCGTATACACGTTACGCATGGAAAACCACGAAAACGCCCATGCAGCTAGCCCGTTCGCGGGATTCGAACCTCGGACCGAACTACCAGTGTTTCAATGACTTTACCGCTCGGCCGCTGGTGGGCCTGACGTATTAAGGCCCATTGTTATGCCAGAGAACTTCTGTCATTCGGTCCTGCGTAACGCAATCTTTTAACAAGATAATGAAATCCTGCATGTTGCTTGTACTGTTCTGATATTCCTCGATATATAGAGTGTTTGACTGTTACTGTTTTGAAAATTTAAGAGCTTCTGTCTTAAAGTGGCTCACTTGTGTATTTGAAGTATTCTTGGGAAGTGCTGCAATTGACATGACATGACATGACAAATTAAAATTTAATCAAATTATAAATTAATATAAATTTATTATTTTATTTGTTATATTAAATATTTAACTAAATTATAAATTATGAAATAATTTAAATAAATTATAACAATAATTTACTTCTACCATGTTACATTTTATATTTGCCCTCTCATGATCTAATTTAACTGTAATAAACTTATTACTATCATCGAATTCAAAACAAATAAATAGTTTTGAATTCTTTTGTATTTTTTGCACCTCTGAAAGAATAAGTTTATTCAAAAAAGTTTTCATCCGTTAAAGATATTATAGCAAAAATACAGGTTGAACAAAATTTGCAGGGCTGTAGTTTTTAATGTCAAACCCTTTTTCATCAGCAAAAGTAAAAAAGAAGGTCCCACTGAACTTTCGAAATTACAGCTCTGCAAGTATACATGCAACTTCTGTAGATTTTTGTTGCTAGTATATCTTTAACATTTGTTCTTTGGCATGCTATTTTTGTTATAATTCTCCATTTGGTTAGTGACAACCTACTTAATCCAACGTAAGTCCTTTCTTTCTGATTAACTCTCTGAATCCATCCTCATTTGGTTTGGTTTTTCTGACTACGACAAAGTTCTCGAGGGCCTATGGAGAGGAATGCCTAAGTGGAGGACGCTCTAAGGGAAATCGGCTTGTATACATGTTACACATAGGAAAAAAACCCGAAACGCTCATGCAGCCAGCCCGTTCGCGGCATTCGAACCTCGGAGCGAACGATCAGTGTTCAGCGACTTTACCGCTCGGCCGCTGGTGGGCCTAATTCGTCTTGGAATCGACTTGATAAGTTATTGCAAGGAAACAAGGCAGATATGTAACCGTGCGCTTTACAAGGTGGGCCGTATAGTGAATAGTTGCCAGTGCATGTTTCCCGAATTCTAAAATATTCCAGAAATCCTCGGTCTAGCTAAGATAAGAAAAGCTTTTTAATATTTTATTTTAAAAAATTTTATTCCCTACTGCACCATAAAGCATTACACTTAAGGGGACGGATGCCTCGTGGAGGACGTTTTGAGGAAATCTTGTTCGTATCCACATCCCACATGGGGTAAACCATGAAAACGCCTATGCAGACAGCCCTTCTGATAAGAATCGAATCTTGGACTGAACTACCAGTATGCAGGGGCTTTCACCGGTCGCTAAGAGAAGCTTAGGAGCCGTTCCATATGTCTCGACTGGAATTGCAGCCTTTTTAATAAATGCAATGATACAATATAATATCTATAACATCTTATTTCAACCGTACTATAAGTACCGCTTCTATCTGCTAAGACCTCCCTTAGTGAGGTATGCAAGATTTCTTAACGCTAACTATACTTGTAACACAATAAATAATATATTTTTACGAGATTTATCCTAAAAACTCTCACTTTCACATCAAAGAGCCGTAAAAACTGAAAACAGCCTCGCCTCTCCAAAGAATGCCTGATAACGTTTTACTAGACTAGAATAAACAGTTCTTGCATATTTCCTAAAATCTGTCCTCTCTGACTTTATTAGCCCAAAGGGCATTAACCCGGAAAGGCTATTAGTCTCGAAACGACATTTTGTGTCGAATCACTTTTCAAACTGTCGCCTCCAAATATTATCGCCCTGTATAGAAATTAAATTTAAAGAATTTAAATAATGAAGAATCTGTATGAATCTATCTATGTTTCTCACAATGTGAAAAATAACGGTACCTACAGCTATCAATTTTGAATAACATAATCTTCCACTCGAATATGGAACCTGGAAGCCCAAATTTTGATTTTCCAATTGGTTTTATTACCTATTTCATATTTTGTAAAATTTTAACGAATTTTTGATTTAAAAAACCCAATGATTTCAACGCGAGCAGTGGC